TCACATGATCCGTCACATGATCCGTCACATGATCCGTCACATGATCCATCACAGGAAACACACTTCATATGGTTTGTAATAGAAAAACAGCATTTAAAAGTATTTGCACAATTCAACTGATGATGCTAAAATTCCTCCTCCTCTTCCTCCTCCTCTTCCTCCTCCTCGCTTTCCTCCTCCTCCTCCTCTTCCTCCTCCTCCTCTTCCTCCTCCTCCTCCTCTTCTTCAGAACCGAACGATGAAAGTGGAGCGAATGTTGACGCCTCTAAAATGTGGCGCGAGGACAGAGAGCAGTTTTACAAACTCGCCCAGAAAATCGTACGCAAGTCACTGGGCCTTTAGAGAAGATGTCATCACCCTGCAACAATGATGTCATCACCCTGAGATGATGATGTCATCACATTGAGCCCAGCACTCTGTGTTTGTAAATTTTTTCTTTCCCCGCTTCTGGCAACCAACCCTCCTCATCACCATGGAAACCAACACACACACACACACACAGAGTGCTGCTGATTGAAAGATCAATAATCGATGGACGGACGAGCGGAGCCAATCAGAGCGTTTCATCTAAATGTTACAAATATGCAAAACTACCAAACGCGTCATGTGGGCATCCCCATGATGATGTCACCACCACCTGTATGGACCATTTCACACCTGGACGACCTGGACGACCTGAGCCTCAGCGTTATCTTCATTTCAGATTGATCAGTGATCATCTATAAGTGATGTCACGTGACGTCTCTCTGGCTCCTCCTTCACCTGTCGGCTACGTCACGGCTGCTGACGCTGCTGCAGATGAAGAAAGTGTCGTAAATAAACTCCAGAAAATTCTGAAGAAACAGAATCAGTTTGAATCCAGAGCTTGACCCAGATGTTCGGAGCTCTGTGGCGCCCTCTACAGGAATCCTCCAGCAACACGTATGTCATCAGTCAGAAACAAATCGCTGCTTTGTTCTTTGTTCGTCATATTTTCTGTAACTAAGCAACCATCTGCAGAGGAGACAATCTACTTCCTGTTAAACACGTGTTACATGACCATTCACGTACACTGGTCATGTGGTGTAGTGTGGACAGAGAGTGTGGGCGGAGCCTGAGTCTGAAGTGGAAGCGTGCGGCTCAGACGACGTGTGGACGGAGAGTTTCAGAACATCTGGATCAGACTTTCATCTAATTTATTGTGTAAAAAAAAAATCTTCCCAGGGTTAACGACCTTCAAAATATCAAAATAAAAGATTCATGATTTAAAATAGGAAATAAAGTTTGAATTAATCAGTGACAGAAAGTGTTGCTGATTAATTTTCAGTTCCTTGATTAAGGATAGAAGAGTCTCGGCTTTAACAGATGATCTGAATATGAGTCACCTTCAGGTGAAGGTGTGAAACCATCCGAGTGACTCTACGCACTTTATCTCTTCCCCTCTTCTCCGAGGACAAGTCTGCTTTTACATTTCTTTCTGCTGCTTTTAAAAATGCGTCTTATTGTTCTTTGTCAGTTTTTTGTTTCAGGCGACAGCAGACAGGACGATGGACAGGGACGTTTTGTTTGTTTTAATTTGTTGGTTTAAAAAGTTTGAATAAACGAGGGAAGAGAAACAGACGAGTGTGAGCTGGTTCTTTAAGTTTCACTGGAAATTCATTTACATTTATTGTCAAACTTCTGGAAAGATTTTGAAACCAAAGGCACAAATTAGTTTTTTCAGACTGAGGTAAAGATGGATGACGTGACAGAACCTGACAGTGAAGCCAAAATGATCTGCGTCGCCCCCTGGTGGCTGGCTGCAGTATAGAAGGAGAGATGATATCTTTATACATTGATTGTTTTTTCATACAGTCACTGATCGTCTTTATTTAAAGATAAGACAATTATATATATATATATATATATATATGTGATGTGTTGCTATAGTAACATCAAAAGTTTATTAGGTGTTAGTTCTCCACGTCAGGAGGATCATGGGTATTGTAGTATCTGCAGACGTGTTGGTGTGAGATGAGAAGAATCAGTGAGTTCATGTCTGAACCTGAACAAAGACGAGAGACAGACGAACATTAGCGGCTAACGCTGTTATTAGCTGCTCTCTGTGGTTATACGACATTAGCTGCTGTATTACTCAGGAGGGCGTAGTCCCACTCTTTGTCAATAAAGATCATACCAAGATCAACAGGACGGAGCCGGTCTGGATTCAATCTGGATTAAAGTATGAGTTTGTTGTTTTAAGAAACTCTGGAATTAAAGTTTTAAATAGAAAGAAACAAATGAGTCAGAACCAATCAGGGCCTAGTTTACTAAACACCTGTGACACAATGAGGTCGCTTGTTAAATCACTCGACAGCATCGATACTGAATCTGAATCCTGTCGAATCACATGGAAACTACATTAACCAGAAAACTGATCTTTGAACTTGGGTTTTTATTCATACATAGATTTCGCTGCTTCATTTTCACTTTGGACCAGACACATGGTTCAAATGTCAAACATCAGACAATCGACAATTTTAAAAGCAAAAAAACCTTCAGATCGAGACGACTTCACTTTTCATTTTCACATTTGTTCTATATTAACTGAGCTGGACTGTTCCAGGTCCAGTTCACGATGCTCGAGCCAACTTTGGAACGCAGCATCAGAATCAGCTTTTCTTGCCAAACAGGTCTTTTACCCACAAGGACTTTACTTGAGTGTATTTGTGCAAGTATAAATATAAAAGATATCAAAATAGGAAACAAGAATTCAATATAAAATATAAAGCTCCAGGGGAGTCTGGAGCTCCAGCTGCTGAACGAATGAGCCACAACCGTGTGTCTGAGGTAAACACACACACACACAGACACACACACTCAGGTAGACTCACACCTGCTGGTAGCAGCAGGAAGTGTGTGTCTGCTTCACTTCCTTCAGAAACACTTGTGTGATCTTATCAGTGTTTGGATGTTTCTCTTCTTATCGTTGATCCTCTGAAGAAAAGTCAGCATCAAGTTTCTGTCTCCTGAACTTTGAGCAGCTGAAGTTTATCTCCTCATCAGAGTGTTTGTCATGTCTCAGCCTGAAGCTACACACACACACTTACACACACACACACACACACACATGCACCGTGTGATCTACTCTGATCGACAGATCTACTGGCATCTCTTCTGATTTCCTGTGATTCTCTGTGGGCTTTCATGGTTTATTGTGATCTGCTCAGATCCTCTGTGATCTATTGTGATCTACTCTGAACTACTGAGATCTGCTGGGATCTCCTGTTGTCTACTGGAATATTCTCTGGTCTACTCTTATTACATGTGATCTATTGTGATCTACTCTGACCTTCTGGGATCTGCTGTGATTACTTATGAATTAGTGGACGAAATAGAAAGAAGTTATTATTAAATGATAATCAAGAAGTTTGATCATATTTCACTTCCCACTCTTCTGTGCTGATACTTTGAATGCAGTATTTGTATTCTCTGGTAAAAGTACTTCAGGAGGTCTCTGGGTTCAGTGTGTCTGTTGGATGCAGACTCGGGTTTGAACCTGGATTATTTCCTCTCTTCATCGGATCAGTTGATCCAGGTTCAATGTCTCAGTGTTCCTACAGGAGCCCAGAGCTCAAACTCAACTCCCTCAGACTTTGGCACCTGAAGGCCACCGTACGTTAAAGCTTCAGGTTTGGAAGAGGTGTTCAGTTGGTTGTATTCTGAACCTTCACCACTAGATGTCAGTAAATCCTTCACATCATCCTGTTGACGATGAGATGTGTGGACGAGGGTTTGTGCGGGATGTGATGTGACCCCTCAGGTTCCTCTGAGGGCCTCTGCAGGAGCCCGACCCCATGTGGTGAACCAGTGGTTTCAATAAAGTACTTAAAAGAAGCTCAGGCAGGAAAATGTACTCTGTAAAGTACTCTGATACTTTAACTGAGTATAGTAACTGAATGCTTCCTCCGCTGTATGAAAAGGTGGATTCAGGCACACGGTGTGTGATGTCATGACGTGGGTGGGTCATACAGGTAGGAGGCGGAGCTCTGCTTCACCTGGGGAATTCCTCTGTTGTGATGCATGAGCAGCACACCTGAGATACAGACCTGAGATCAGTCAGCTCCTCTTCTCTTTATCTCTCCTCTGATCAGGATCGTTTCATGTCTCAGATCAGGCGTCAGTTTATCAAAGCTTCAGCGTGAACGTGGTGTTTAAACAACATCTGCACGACTTAAAATCTCAACACGTCCATCAAACTCATTTCCAGACGAGTTCAGCTTCACCTCAAAGAACCGGGTTCTTACGCTTTTACTGTTCATTCTGAACTCATCAGATTTAAACGGATGTTTTTTAGATTTACGTCATTTTGATCACAAAGTGAACTTAATGTAATTTGGAGTCTGCGACAGTGAAGCATCGCCACATGGTCAAATGTACGTTTGTATCACAGACTGTAAATAAAGTTCAAACGCCTCAGACACAAACGCTGCCAGCTTGTGGTGATGACGTCATTTGCAGTCAGAGTCTGCAGCAGTGGAGCTGTGGTATCGAGGCCCCGCCCACAAACTCACTCAACCAACCTCGAGTCAGTGTCAGCTGTCAATCATGACGTCTCAGCTTGTTTTTGTTTCATCAAATAACGGATTAAACCAAACTGACGAGAAACACGTGAACAAACATCAGAGAGAAGAACTGAAGCGACAGAAACATCTTTGAACATTTATTTAACTCTGCTCTGATTTTTTTTAGTTTGGTTCATGTCCCGTCTGCTAACATGGAGGAGGAGGCTTAATGACCTATACTGCAGTACTTCTCTCTCTCTCTCTGTCTCTCTCTCTCTCTGTCTGTCCCTCTCTCTCTCCAGCTCCTCCCAGTCTTTTATATTTAAATAGTGGGCGAGCGAGCCAGCAGGTAAACTCTGCCTCTCTCGTCAGTGAGACTCACCTGAAGCTTCAGATCCGTCACAGAGGAAACGTCTGAACGTGTCGAGCTGAGACAGAAAAAAGAAAAGACTCCACCTGTGTCTCAAACGTTTTGAAGGACGAAGAGAAGGAAACATCCTGAATCATTTGAAGGAGAAGTTTCAGTATGAAGCAGGAAAACGAGACGACAGGTGGCGTCTGAAGAAAGATGGAGAATCGACCTTTTCAACAATCTTTTATCTTCAAGAAAATTCAAGCGTTGGACTGAAGCTCGTTGTGACGTCTTCATGGTTTGACATTAGTTTGAAGAGAAAGACGAGACGACCTGTGTGAGAACTTTTTACTTTGTTTTAACATTGAAACATTCAAAGAATCTTTAAAAGTTTCATATTCTGTGATCAGAGGAAAAGAAAAAGAACGAGAGGTGACGTGTGAAGGTGAAGTTAAGGGACGACTTCTCGACAGGAATTTGAAGAATCAACAACAAACTGAATTTTCTAAATATTTCTACCTGATTCAGTCTGAAATCTTTCGTCTGGATTGTTCTGAAGAGTCCAAGAAGACGCACAACGACAACAAGTAGGACGATTTGTAGAAGACGTCTCTGAGGTGATTGAATTCAAGAGGAGGAAATGTCTTGAGAAGCTGAAGGTCTTTGTTCAGACCTGATCCAGGACCAGACCTGGACCCAGACTGGATTCACCTCTGACCTCAGGTTTGATTTTACAGTTCTTATTTTCATTGTCACATCCTGTTTAACTGGACTCTAAATTGACCTGAGCTCAAAAGTATCGACTATAAACCACAACGTCTCGTTTTCCTCCAGAGACACACGATTGGTCAATTAAACAATTAGTGAAGTGACAGAAAATCTATCTGCAGCTATTTGAATAATCGTTGTGACTTTTCAGTTTCCAGCTTCTTCGATGTGATGAATGTTTGTGACAGTGAGTAAAGCAGAACTCGACTCATTCACGAAATGATTCATTGATTCAATTGGAGCAAAATTGAGCTCCAATATTAATAATAATGAAAATAATGTTTGGTAGCAGCTCTTCTTTCTTTTTCCTACAAGATAAAGTCTTCAAGTAAAATCGATCCATGAATAAAGAAACATCAAAATCAGTTTGATCTGAGGGTTCAGTGAATCTCTGGAGTTTTATGACTCATAAACGTTTAAATACAGGAAACGACTTCGTTAACGTGTTTGTAGGAGAAAAACCTTGATCACATGATCATCTGTCATCTCTGTCTATTCACTGATCTGCTTTATAATTCATATCATGTGATCGATCTGACTCTGGAGTTTCTCTGGAGTTTCTCTGGAGTTTCTCTGGAGTGTCTCCGGAGTGTCTCTTGAGTTTCTCCGGAGTTTCTCCGGAGTTTCTCTGGAGTTTCTCCGGAGTTTCTCTTGAGTTTCTCTTGAGTTTCTCCGGAGTTTCTCTGGAGTGTCTCTGGAGTTTCTCCGGAGTTTCTCTGGAGTGTCTCTGGAGTTTCTCCGGAGTTTCTCTGGAGTTTCTCTGGAGTGTCTCTGGAGCTACGTGTTTTATAAACACAAACGTACATTTATTTTGTAAGTTCTTTTCTGGTCATAATGACTCGAAGCTCTTTCCAGTTTCTACTCCTTCATTCAGTGAATCTAAAGCAGCACAATGACACAGAAGGACCCTTCAGCATGGGGATCGAACCACCAACCCTCTGGTTAGAGGACGACCCACTCTACCCTCTGAGCCACAACCGTCCCACAACAACTGTTGCTGTCTTTTAATTCATGTTCTTCTTTCTTCAGACATTCCAATCGTTACTTCAGAGAAGAAGGAACGTGTTCCTGATGTCCTGACGCAGGTCGTCCTCGTCTGTCGGCCGGACTCGTTCCTCAGTCCAACAGGAAAATGATGGCAGGTCAAGACGCAGACCTGTGAGGAGGAATCGAAGCCACACTATTGACGGTACACAGGCGTGATGTTAGCGTGTTGCTCCCTGCTGCTCACCTGGCTGCTGGTCACCACCAGAGTCCAAAGCCAAAGCTGGAGACCCTGCACAGGTACGAGGTGTCAACCATCAGTCCGTCCTCATAGTCACTTCCTCTCTGTCTCCAGAGACTCTGAATATGTTAGCTTAGCACAAGGACTGTTAGCCTAGCTCTATCAAAGCCAGAATCTACATCACATTTCCATTAAAGCGTCCTGGTGGTTGTTAGCTAAACGTTTAGATTTTATTAACAAAATGTAACCTGTTTGCTAAGAAGCTAATTAGTGCTGTTGTAGCTGTTGTACTGGACCTGGGCTAACATGATTCATGTGAATAATCAGCTAGCATCACAAACAAGATGCCGAACCTTCAGGCTAACCGCTTTAAACTAACTTTAAACTATCACGAGCCAAGACTAAGCTCAATCAGTGAAACCTGACAGATGGTTGAGCTGAAACTTCTGAATTGATGATGAACATCTGGTTCAAAATGAATTGAATTCATTGAATGTGTTCAGTCATGAGTGCACAGGTGGAGCTCATGGCCAGTGCCCTCTGCTGGGACACCAGGCAAACTACTTCAGATGCCACTGTTTCATTTGAGTTCTTTCACGTCTTTACGATAGGAACATTCCCCACGTTTACCTGGGTATATACCCCAGTCAAAGTTTGATCTGTGAAGAGAAAGTGAGTGATCCTCTCTTTTCTTGGTTTAACGTCTGTCTCTGAAATCTGTCTCTGAGTTTCAAACGTTTCTCTGCTGCTTTGTGCTTCGTTGTTTTTTGTGTCTTTGAAATAGGAGCTCTGTTTCTGTCCATGTCGTCCCCTCCCTCCATTCATCCTCCATTCATCCTCCATTCATCCTCCATTCATCCTCCATTCATCCTCCAGTGATCCTGCTGTTGCCACTAAACACACACAGAGCCTCAGAGGAGCTTAAAGGGGAATTCCAGCTAAAACTGTCGTTGACCTGTTGCCCTCAGTAAAGAAACCAACATGTCAACTGCTCCCGTTTCTGTACATTACTCAACCTGAACAAGAGACGGACTCCAGCTACTGTCACAGGATTAATCCCCAACTTCTTACGTTCACCTTAAAGAAAACAACTTTCTGCTCATCATGTTTCCACATCAACAGGAAGCAGAGCTGAAACTCAACCTCTGGTTTCATTTGTAGATGAAGACTTCGATAGAAACACACAAGATCAGAGAGAATCTATCACTCTCATCTATCACTCTCATCTATCACTC